AGAACGGATTAACCTTATTTACATTGAACCTTATGGGGAAATTTGATTCGGTTTGTGACCAGAATCGTGGAACGAATTAAGTTCGTGAACCGAGGTACCACTGTATTTCAAAGTATACCACCGGCATGAATCACTTTTTTAAAAAGCGATACTATAACAACTGTCCCTTGCTCTGTTTTCAAGTGGGGTAGTTATGACGAACATATTTGTTGTATAATGAACTAAAGCTGCTGCTCCAATATCCTAGTTTGCTTGTTTATTTATTTATTTATTTATTGGATTTGTTAAGGATGCCCAACTCCAAAAAACCTCTGGGTGGCTTACAATATGTCCAATACATAAGTTAAAAATACAACTAAAACCACGTGAATGTCTGGATTAAAACAGCACTCCCCAGCATAACCTCCCCAGGTTAGAAAAATTGTTGTAGGTGAAAAAGAAGATGAGTTAATGGACTTACTCTATTGGCCCTTTGCTACTTATCATCAGATGCAAAATACAGGTGAATATGTTCTTGCCACTATGATACAATAGGGCTGTAGTCGTACACATACTTCCATATCAGTAGTTCCCATTGAACTCAGCCCAATTCTGAGCCAACATTCAAGGGATTGAGCTTTAAGCAGTACCTGGATGATCTTGCTATGTTAAACTTACAGTAGTAAATCTGAAGAGAAAAGCATCATCCAACACCCAAATTTTGCTCCACTGCCCCGACGTAGAACGTTCTATCTCCTTGGAATAGCTGCATAGAAATCTATGAAAGTGCTGGATCCCTACAAGAAATACACTCACTGTGCCTGGAACAAAAATACAAATAAAACTTCTCCTTTGGATGCTTTCATGTATAATGAGGTATTAGGGTAAATACAACCCTGTTATTAAAGATATTTGGATGTTATTCCTAATTAAGGTCAAACCCTAACTGATTATTTTAATCCTGTATATTATAAGGTGATTTCTGCCCTATTGCTCAACCTTGAGCAAAGAAGAATACAGCTATGCATAATCTGACAGAATGGTCCTGGTGTAGGGACCCTATCCCATGTCAATATATCACATATCATTTGGGCTAAACTATCCTGGCCCTCCTGGATTTCTCAGCATCTCTTGATACCAAAGACCATGGTATCCTGGACCAGCTTTGGGGGCTGGGAGTGGGAGGCATTGTTTTCCAATGGTTCTCTTCCTTCCTCTAGGGCCAGTTCCAATCAGTGTTGGTAGGGGAGGAAAGCTCAAGCCATACGCCCCTGCAGTGTGCAGAGCTCAGGCCTTTTGCCTCTCTACATGAAGCCACTGAGTGAGGTCATCTGACGGCACAGGGTGCAGTATCATCAGTATGCTGATGATACCCAGCTATACATGTCCACCCCCAGCCAAGCAGGTGATACTGTTGCAGTACTGACTGAGTGCCTAGAGGCTGTAAGGGACTGGTTGGGGAGGAACTGGCTTCAACTCATCCCAGCAAGACAGAGTGGCTTTGGGTTTTTGGCTCCCCAGACGATATGTCATCTTTGACTTTGGATGGGGTGGCACTCCCCTGGACACAGCTGGTACACTATTTGGTGGCCTTCCTAAACTCACAGCTCCTGCTTGAGGATCAGGTGGCAGCTGTGGCTTTGGCACAGATTCATCTTGTGCACCAATTGCACCCATTCCGTCCATAAGCAGGACTGGGAGGTCTTGCTTATGGTCCCTTATGCCTTGGTCACTTCCCACTTGGGTTACTGCAACACACTCTACATGGGGCTGCCTTTGAAGACCACGTGGAAGCTACAATTGGTCTAGAATGCAGTGGTGTGTGCATCATCATATTTATTTCAGTCATTGACCAATAAAAATACATACAATAAAACAGACAACAATATTACCCCTTTCATCA